GTTAAGTAAATAATAAGTAAAAGCCATTTATTTCAACAATTGGCAAAAAGAACTTATATATATATATATATATATTATTTTTCAAATCTGACAATAGCATTAGTGGAATTTATAACAAATCACTTTCCAACAAGGGTGATAATCACAGTTTGTTTTTGAAATGATTTTTTTTCTTTTGAATATTCTTAACAGCTTTAAACAAATAACATCATTATCTTCACATAAGTCAGTTTTGTTCAAACCACGTGATGATGTCTTTAATGCTAGATTGCACTTTATTCAGACTGACTGGTGGATCAATTTCCGTGTCAAATTTACTTTCACCGCACTTTTGAAGAGGTACACTGAAAATGATGTCTTCACGTGACAACTCGTGATTAGTTGGTTCTGCTGAGTAAATGATGAACCACTAATCAGTTGTCATACCATCATTACAAACTGGAGCAATAGCACTTTGATCAGACTTGCTGTTTCATCTTCCAATTTTGTCTTTTTTATTACAAAATGTCATGTGAATTTCTTGATGTAACATCAAAAACCAGAGATACAGAGTTTGTCCAATGTTTGCATACTTTGTATGTCTTGCCCTTGTTTGTTGACCTGAACCTTCTGAAATGTTTTTCCACTTTTTTGTTGTTGTGAAGAATGCCATATATGGTTGACTTGCCCATGAAAACATTTCTATCTATGTTTAAATGCCTACTGATGTTATCAAGGCTTGCGCTTGGGTTTGCTTTCTTGTATAAATAAACCACACTTTAATGATGCTGATATTTGTATGCATCTTTGTTTTGGAGCACTGTGATTTGATGTGACTATAGCCTGCCAACATTAAATTTTGGAAAATAGTAATCCCTACTGGAACAAGGGAAAACAGCAAAAAATGTAAATGTAAATTGGCATTGCTACTAATTATGTTTTATTTAATACTTGCTAATTACAGTGAACTACTGATTAAGAGACCTGTAAATAGCACTCTTTGCTTTCTTTATGAAATTATCTCTAAATTTATGGGAGAAACATGGTCTTTGCCACCTACATCTTCCTTATCAGCAATGATTCTGATTTGGTAGCGGGTTTTATGAAAAATGAGTCCTGTTTATTAATTCCAGATGCACTTGAACAATTTAAAACTAGAAATAGACAATTCTCTGTATAGCAAATAACATAATATAATATGTCATTTGATAGATTAAAACTTTGACTTTCTATTGGTTATAAATAATATAGTATTAAATGTGAAAGGGAACTATTGGCCATTTCTGAAAGAGAAGATGCGACAGGTGGGCATAGTAAGAGGAGTCTGATTTTCTATTTTACGGCTTTGTAACTAAGATTGAAGTCTATAAAAATTATGCTTTGCCTGAGTGATGACAATATTATAATAAGTAATTTACAATAAATTTGAACTTCTAGAAGGGTTGGCAAATAAAGTAGAGAAGAAGGGATACCCAAAGAGCAAATGTCACAATTCTCATACCAGGGAAAATTCATGATTTTTTAAATATTGCCTCATAAAATCAAGAACTTAAAACTTATATCAAAATTTGTATTATTAGCTACATTTTGATGCCAAATTTATTTGTATACCATGATAATAAAGTACTTTAATTCAATTTTGAATGTAACTCAGTAAAATCTCATGACATGCACAGAAAAGTATACCCATATGGAAAGAGTTAACATAAGGTTTATCAATATTGCATCACGTTCTTCTTTAGTTTCTCTAAAATTCAAATGGATCTGTATGTTAATAAATCCTGAGTGGTTTAATTAATATCACTCGAACTGATAAATTTATTTTTTACGCTCATACATTTCTGAATTGTTTCAATTTTAACTGATTTTGTTTTGTATCTGTGAAGGAATATAATAACATGCTAAGCACTTGATTTACTGTACAGGTGTTGAAGTTTCTCTACAAGTAGATTAACAATGAATTATTTTTTGGCTGAATTTTTATGCTATGGAAATGCTACCAATCACACTTTACACACATATATGTATATTGTAACTTAGTCTGATTTTAAGTTTTAGTTGTATTTTACAAATTCATTTTCTTCCCATAACATTTAAATATAAACAAGCCAATAAATAGTAGTAATAGCTTCTCCTTGTCAAGCTCTGGAGACTTATCATCATGAAATGTGTATGCTTACGATACATTTCATCTCAATTTCCAGAACATGTAATTAAATGAAAGTAAGAAAGTTTAAGAATTTTAATGGTCTATTCTTATTTTTGCACTTGTTTAGAATCTGTCAGCAAAATAAGCAAGGAAGTCATGCACTAAATATGAAATCAGAAAATAAAATGTTTAGATTAGTACATTCTAGCTTTTTTATATTAACATATTTATTTTGGAAACAAAAAATAGTCTTTGGATACACAAACTCTCAGATATGACACTTAATTGTCTGGTATGTAATACAAAGATTTTCTAAGAAAGCATTTACCCAAATTCTTGCTTTCCTTATTAAAACTACTGTAATTGTGTTAAATATAGTAACGATTTTTACCAGTGATAACAATTATCTATAGTGTAAATTTTCTATTACCTGCATATATTGTGAGCTCATCATCTAGGTTAGCCTGGTAGAAATATAGCGCTTGACACCATCCATGTGCATTGCTGTTAGCTGGCTGTAAAGTTGGGAAGTTGGTATACACTTCAGATGAATGGCTAAATGTGGCTTCTGAAGTGAAATATACAATATGCATGAAACTATAGTCAAAAATACTTTAAAATGAAATGAATTTCTCTATTATATTCAGCTTGCTATATTAGTCATTTCTGATAAAAAAAAAATGTGCTCATTATACATAAATCCTCAAGGATTTTAATTTAAAAAAGGGGTTCAAAATTAATTGCTCTTCATGCAAACTGTTGTAACTCGTGTATATCAAAGTTTGGTTTGTTTTGAATTTCATGCAAAGCTACACGAGAGCTATCTGCACTAGCCATCCCTAATTTAGGAGTGAAAGACTAGAGGAAAGAGAGCTAGTCATCACTACCCACCACCAACTTTTGGGCTACTCTTTTATCAATGAATAGTGTGGTTTACCATCACATTATAATGCCCCTACAGCCGAGCATGTTTGGTGGGACAGGAATTTAAACCCGTGAGTATGTCAAAGTATAGATAATAACGTATATCACTAAATGTGCTCATGAACTCTTACATTGGTCTCATACTATTGCTTTAAGATTCAAGATGCAAATATCTTTTTATATTTTTTACTGATCCAAAATTTATATGCACAAATTGATAAAATTTTGTAGCATGCAAAAACTTAAAATTACTCAGTATGTGGACACTACAATTTGTGAGTGGTGGAAAAATAAGTAAGTATCTTATGGTTAAATATTAGGAAACCAGCAACTCAATTTATAGGTTTAATTTATTTCACAAGTTCTTCAATTTACAGCATGAAAAAGTCTGATCACCTTAAACTTCAAAACAATGAGATTTTCAAATTCCCTGTGTAAACTTGTTTTGAAAATCCTCTTACACTATTCTAAAATCATAAACTTCCATTTTAATTAACTAAAGCATCATTATCATAACAAACAAATTTATTTCACAGTTTAGATTTAAAAAAAGGGTTGCTGTAATGTTCTTATGACTTGTATGATTTGGTTAAGAAAACTTACTGAAGATGAAACAAATATATATATGAAAAAACCAGTATTAACTCTCTCACTACAGGCTCAGTTGATTCGACCTAAAAATTTATCCCAAATTGACCTTTAGAGTTTCCATACTATAACTTCTAATATGTTTTGTGTATCTGCATTAAATTTTACAAGCTTTCAGCGTCATTTGTAGACAAAAAAAAATCAAAATTTTTAATGAAGTATTTTCACTAAAAACTTCTAATTTTTATATTTTAGTTACTTTTATAATAGAATATAAAGATACACATGTAAAACAAGAAATATAGTACTTAACCTAGGTCTTCTTGTTTTGTTTTTTTTGCTGTTGACTCTTGATGAAACTTAACCCTACTTTTGTTTTAAATATTAATGGTACAACTACACTAAATAATTTTTTATTTAGTTAATTAAATAATGCACCAAAGAACACAAAAAGCAGACACTATCCTATAACTATCACAATTTTTCTGGCTTTCTAACTATGTGACAAGAGCTGTTAAAATTCAGCTAAACTTGTTAATGTGTTCCCCATGGGAAAAAGTTTGAACTGGAAGCAAAACAGACTATTCTCTGTACAGCAAACAACATAACATACTTTATTTTATAGGTTAAAACCTTGGCTTACGATTGGTTATAATTAATAAAGTATTAAACATCAGAGAGAACTACTGACAATTTCTGAGAGAGAGGATGTGACAGGTGGGTTTGGCAATAGGGGCTTGATTTTCAAATAAGATTGAAGGCTATAATAAATTATGTTTTGCCTTAGCAATGACAACATTATAGTGAGTAATTAGATTAAGCTATCCAGGAGCAGAGGTGGAAGATATAACTGACACAGAGCAAAATATAATAAAGGGGCTAGCAATGATGCAGTTTTTGTGTGCACGTAGGGGCTAATGATGTAAGAAAAGGTAGGTCAGAGGAGCTAATTGATAACTACAAGAGATTGATAAAGGCATTTAAAGAAAGGGGCCATAACTTAATTATGTCAGGGATATTGCTAATGAGAGAAGGGAGTTTTTTGGAATGGTTTACATTTAAATAGGGTAGGGGCTGGCTTGTTTGCAAGGGCTATTAACTCAGTTGTAAGGGAAGTTTTAAAATAGGATTAGATAGTAGTGAGGGCTTGAATAATCTAAATGCAAAAAGTTTAACATGTAATGAAAAGTTTAGCATAGGAAGTGAGTATAGAAGTAGTTTTAAGGGTAGATTTAATTGTTACTATTGTAATACTAGAAGTATAAGTAATAAAATAGATGACATGACTTTAATGCTGGTAGGAATATAGGATTTTGATATAATGGGAATAAGTGAAACATGATTAAAAGAAGACGATTTTGACGACAAATTTCTCTTTTAGGTTATTTAAAAGAGATAGAGTACTAGAGAGAAGTAGGAGTGGTTTTATATGTAAAATGTGAGTTACATCCTGTTGAAGTTGAGAATATCAAAGATTATATAAGAAGATTGAATCCATTTGGGTTTCTATTAGCAGATATAAAGAGAATAGGCTTTTAGTGGGAATTTCTTACAGACCATCAAATGATACTGATGAAAATAATAAGAAACTTTACAATGAGATTAAGATTTCACCTGTTTCAGGCCCACAGATTTGGAAATGTTAGTTGAATCATGAGGGAAAAGGGTTTTTTTTGAAACTGTTCAAGATGAGTTTTTGACAAATTGATCAAGGAACCTACTCGAAACAAAGCTATCTTAGATTTATTGTTTACTTCTAGTATAGAAATTGTTGAGAGGGTGGAAACTGAAGAGCATCTGGGTACAAGTGATCATTGATCTATTACATTCAATGTTTTGCTACACATGGAGATGAGAAATAATGATATTTTGTTTACAAATTTAAAAAAAGCAAATTTTGAAGTGATGTGACAAGAGTTATCTGTTGTGAATTGGGCAGTTGAGTTACTTGAAGCACTGATTAAATGTGGAAACATTTTAAAGACAAGTTTTAAATATTCAAGATAAACATATTCCTTATAGAAAGAAAAGGGTGGCTGCAAATAAAAAACAGGTACTCATTTAAAGTCTTTATAGGTTTTATGCTACTAACTTTTAATATAGTAGGTATATCTTCACAAAATTTGGCACACTTTCAGTAAACATTACAAGTTTTTCACATACAAAAAATCTTATTTTTCAGTGAAGTATTTTGAATAAACTAAAAATAGATTCGTTTGTGAATATATTGAGTATTTTTACTAGTCAAGTACAAAGTGATTTTCATGTTGAGATTAAAAATACTTTTTTCTTCTCAAAAAATTTCATTTGCATAATCTCTAAAACCTCCTAAATTGAGGTGTTTCAGATTGTTAAGGGAATTGAGGCATCATCTTTATTTTCATACATAATGGTGAGAATGGTAAGACTTGGGACACGAATATAATTTTTTGCAGGGAAGGAATCATCTTAAGCTAAGACAGTTTTATTTTTCTAACAGGGTGGTTGGCCTCTGTAATGGGTTGCCTTCGGATGTTGTGGAGGCAGTAAATTTAAGTGAATTTAAGAGAAAGCTTGATAACTATATGAATGATAAGGAAAGCTTTGAGGTTTTTTTATCTTATTTATTTATTTTTTAATAGGTTTAGTTTAGAGGATGGGACAGCCTAGATGGACTAATAGGTTCCTTGTTGTCCCAAAACATTATATCAATTTACATTAAATTTTGTACATCTTGGAGAGGTGATAAATACATTTAAGAGGGTATACCTAGAGAGCAAATATCATAATTCTCATACTAGGAAAAATTCAGAATTTTTTTTTAAATATTGCCTAATAAAATTAATAATTTAAAACTTACATAATATTAAAAATTGAATTATTAGCTATATTTTTATGCCAGGTTTATTCATATATCATGATAAGAAAGTAGTTTAATTGCATTTTTAATGTAACTCGGTAAAACCTCACGACATGAATAGAAAAGAATGCCCATAGCAAGAAAGTTAAATGGAGTAAATACTATTTAAAGTGTAATATGTTTGCACAACAAAGTCTACTTTGCTGTTTTTAAAATATATAACATACCACTGCTTATATTGCACTCACCATCAAAGGTGCTTTGAATCAGAGAAGTACCATCATCAACACCTCTGTCTACTTCACTAAGTTCACTATTTGAAGACCAGGTACTACTAGAAAGCCTATGATCTGTTCTTTCTACCCAAGCATCTGTCATTCCAACACCTTGCAGCTTCAACACTGAGTGAATACCACCCTAGAGAAATCAAGAAAGGAAACTGTGTGTATGAATTTAACAGTATATTTAAAAATTCTTCTTTAATTCTCTTATTTTTTTCCTTTTACTACTAAACTGACCAAAAGATATTTGGAAAGTTACTTCTGTCAAACTATTAACCCTATGTATATGGGCTTGATCAATTTGACTGACCTTGTAACCACCACGTAACTATGAAACTACACATACTATAACTCTGCAAATACTATACGTGTATTCATGAAATTTGGCAAGCTTTGTCTGTTGTAAAAATAAAATTTTTTAATACAGTATTTTTACAAAATATTTGTCATGAATTTACAAAGCATTTACTGAGTTAGAGCAAAAGTTGATTTTCATGCTGATAATAAAAAAATACCTCTTTTCATCTTACAGTTTCCATATTTGATTTGCAAAATCTCTAGGACCTTCTAAATGGACATGAAATTTTTTATATTTTATCTCTAATTTTTCTACCCTAACACTGACTGTAGCAAAATCATCAATGAAAACTTTAAAAATATGAAATGATAAGAACAATATCTTTTTTAATTCTTTGAATGCATAACTGTAACAGAAAATTATAATTATTTATCCTGATAGTCTCAGTTTTCTAAACTTTTCACACCTGCTTGTTTTTTATTCTATTATTTCCAATGCCCTTTAAACCCTATCTAAGTAACAACCAATCAAATTACAATCACATGATGTAATGATCTTGAGCTGGTCTCATGAAAATTTTCGATTTAATTATTTTTCATTTACTTTGTTATCTAACTTAATATGTTTCTAATTTTTACATTTTTAGTTACTTTTGTTAAAAAAACATATAATAATAAATACATAAAAAACAAGAGCTTCTGGCACCTTACATTAGAGTTGAAGCTTATTTCATTAATTTGTGCTGGAAAGCATACTTCCTCAGCAAAGGTTTTTTATACTATGTTTGTTATCTGGCAAAGCATTAATGTTACTTTCAAGTATTCATTTTAGAACACTAAACAGCTCACAAACACTGTTTATTGCTCCTCGACCAATGTTCTTCCTCAAATTCCTCTGTTTATGATCAGGAACCTCTTCTGGAGCCTCCTTGAAAATATCCAGTCAGAATACATAAATGTTCTTCACTTTGAACATTTATTTGCCTCATTGCCTTTGTCGGAGATAAAACTTCTTTCACCTCCTTTATGGCTTGCTTTTTCATTCATGGGTAACCCAGCATGATCATATTGACATCTGCTGCACTGGTGACATTCTGAGCATTTTGTGACCTTGCACCTTCAGGTCAGTTTCGAATGATCAATCTATTGGTTATAAACGTCAGTAGGAATGTCAGAGAGATAGAATTAGAAACATGTTTAAAGGACAGAGAAAAATTGGAAGGTGTTTCAGTGGATGTAAAAAATATGATAATATCTCAGTAAAGCAAGAAGATTGCACATTTAAATTTTATATTATGACTATCAGTATCTATGGTATGTGTTACTAATTGTTGGATGCTCTGAAACCTATATATGTGTATAAAGAAAATCTAAAAAGAAGAATTCAGAGCTAAGATTGATAATTTATCTAAATATTTGTTTTTGAACTTAAGAAATCAAAACGTAAATAAAAATACATTTTGAATTATAAACTAAGATTTAATACCAAGCTTATTGGTGTACATTAATAAATTACTTTAATTAAAATTTTAATGTAATTCTCTATAAACGGTTGTGACATGTGCACTTTGGTCATCCCATATGCATAAGGCTAGCAGTTAGTTTACTTGGCTATTACTATAAAAGTTAAATAACTAATACTTATCAATAAAAACTAGTATAGTAGTTCTATTACTACTATTTTAATTGAAGAGTGGAATTGAAATGTTTTACAGTTGAATCTACAAGACACATTTCTCTTAAAAACATATATATATATATATATATATATATATGGAGATTATATTACAACCATAGGCATATTATAATGTATAAAAAACAGTATATTTAGCCAATATCATCACTTAATATGCAAATACCATACGACAGCTATCCTCATTGGCTGGATTTTCCTTTGAAAGTGTTCTTTAATATTATGCAAATATTTTAAAATCAAAACCTGTTTGTCCCTATACTGCTCCATATGTGCAGCTAATGGATGCATTGGTCTACTTTTGTTTTCCAGATCAGCAAGGGCACATTCCACCTTGTGATGTGAAGCTTCCAGGTAGGCCAGCATTGCACGAAGCTGAATAATGAAATTTTATATTTAATAAAAAATATAAACTGTAATTCAGTAAGTCTTGAAACATATACTAATGACTTGAAAGTCTAGAATTTAACAATAAGAGAACCATTAAAAATCAATAATAATATTCATAACAGAATATTAAAATGTTTAACATTTTTCTCAACAAAATATTTTTATAACTCTCCTTCGCAGCTGGCTATTTAAAAGCAATCACTAGATGTGGGGTATCTGAGATGCATATCAAATGATAACATAATTTAATGAAAACACAGAAAATATCAAATAATCATTAATCCAATATTATCACCATATGAATATTTTATGAAATTTCCTACTTATTTTACCAGTTGCCTGAAGTAAGCACCAAAGAGTTTGTTGTTTGTTTTTAAGTGGAAAACATCACAATGCAATATCTTCACTCTTGCCCATCATGGGTGTTATAAGCCCACAAGCTTACCAGAGGGTGCACCAAAAAGACTGACCAACAAATAAATTTTTAAAACCTCCACACTCTTCATAATTTAAATTGGGGAAATAAGTACCTATTATCAGCATAAACAAAATTAATATTCAAATAGTATATCAAAGAAATAAAAAAAAATTATTTTGTGACAACAATTTCACATTTAAAAGGATCAATAAAAAACAGGAAGTGAAACGTTTACATTTTGTCCAGGTAAG